TGTTGTGGCACATTCCATTTGCTTTCGTAAGGCAGCGGGTTTACTAGTATTTCATAAGTCTGCAGAAGGCTCTCCCTCATATAATAAGGAGAACAATAGTTTTCACAAGACTCATTCCTGTGCCTCAAAGCCGCCAAAGTATGTGCACAAGGAAGTTCATCAAGCTGGAATTGCCACAACTACATCTCTTGTTTTGAAGGTAAACAATGAAGCGCTTCACACCATCTATCACAGTATGGATGTAATCTGTTGAAACCCTCACCTATAATTTCATTACAAACACACAACAAGTTGTCAGCAACAGATACAAAATAAAATAACTACAATTATACAACAACATTTCTACAATTAACAGTATATATTTAGTTTGGTGGAATCACTGATCTGATGTTATTGGCTATAGCTTACTCTCGTCTTCTGCAATAATATCCTGTTGTCCTCCAACTCTTTGTTGTAATTTTTTCCCAAGGTATGTGAACGTACCCTTTGCATTCAATAACTTTTCATTAGTCCAACATTCAAGAAGAGTCCTCATGTACTCTAATAGTTCTAGTACGGGCAGCTCTCTTGCATCTTTGGTTACCGAATATCATATAGGTATGCTTTAACACGTGTGTCGATCTGTTCAATCTTTGACATTCTTTCATTAAATTCATCAAGCGTGTATGATCGTGTCGTGGCAAAGTACAATTCGCTTAACTTTAGATAACCCTTCTTGAACTTTGACCTTACATTTGTCCAAATATGCCACATGCAAGCATAATGTGGCATGCCGGAATAAGCAGTAGATGTTTCCTTCAAGATACTCTCATTCTGGTCCGAAACAACACACATATTTAGTTTTTCACCATATGCATGTTTGAATTGCTCAAAAAACTACCTCCATGATGCGTCATTTTCTGAATCAACAACGACGTATGCTAGTAGTAATATGCTACCTATCACACATGTGGCAAAAAGAAATTCAATTTCTGTAACAAAACTTGAGAATATAAAAAATACAGTCTCAAAAACAACTTTATAACAATATTTTTAAAATTAATCTACATTACATGTTGTATCCATTGTGCTAGTTGTTAGCATGATTCCCATATATGCCGACTTCAAGAAGGTGCCATCAACTACCACAACTGGCCTAAAATGCTCCCAACCCTTGATGGACGTACTAAGTGCAATAAATGCATACAAGAAACAGTCATCTTCAATCTTCTGCAATTTCACTACCGACTCCGGATAAGTCTTCTCCAGAATATACAAATAACTCGGCAAGCGACTGTAGGAATCAGCAGGATGACCCCTCCAAAATTCCAAAGCCTTTTCCTTTGCTCTCCAAGCTTATATATATGTTAAGTTCACACCATGATCCGTCAACATGTCAGTTTGTATGCCTTTTGATGTGTATATTATCTTAGGATCCACATATTTTGGCATCACCATGCTGCCAACTACCATGGCAGTAGGTTTGCGTTGTATGTATGTGTTGTCCATCAAAGAGCATGTGTGCCAGCTGTTGAATTTTCGAACCTTGAACAATGTTAATTCATTTATGCTGGTGGACTTGAAGTGCCACATACAATTGTTCCCAACACATACGAGGCAGTAGCTACAAAATAAAAATAATTCAAAAAATGTTATGCAAATTGTAGCTACAAAATACGAGGTTGTTTATGCACAAAAACTTATCTTAAATAATTTATATACAATTTATATACAAAAAAATTACAACTTATACACAATATGAATTTGACAAATAAAATATTCCTACCTTCTTGCACTAGACCTTTTCACCCTAAATTGAAACTTATTCATGACAGAATAGTGCTTCATTGCACTGACAATAATTTTTTTGTCTTGCTAAACTTAGCCTACTTCAATTACATTTGGCGTATGTTATGTTATGATGATACTTTCATATTCCACAATTGCCGGAGATATTTGCATATCAATCAACTTCACTATTCCTGATACTTCTTCAATTGTATTACAATTGCTTGACAATTGTACCACGTTAGTATTGCGATAATCAGAAGAACCTGCACTCAATTAAAAGTATAGCAATTCAGACCTATGTATATTCATGTGTTCAGTATTTGACAGAATGCTTGTAGAGACATAACAGTTGAACTATATTTGTTATGTAGTAAAATTATAGATAATTTATAGTAAAATTGTAAGACAATTGAAATTGAAAAAACATCAGCACTGGAAAAACAAAGCAAACCTGCAATTGTGCTCGCATTCGACATACTGCATTCCAAATCAAAATCACGTACTGTTATACACAACAAATACATTCCTAAGTTTTTGTTTTCCTTTTTTGTCTTCATATACACTCGAACTCCCATATCGCTCCGAATTTCCATTGGAGGACAAACGTTCATTGACAATGTATTTGATTTCGATGATTTTTGCGGAGGTATCGATCATTAGATGCTCTGCAATTGCGGAATTCAATTGACTATAATTTGAATGGTCATTGACTACAATTCTGTCAACATTAAAATCTTTGTATCTCCCAACGCTATCGCACCGACCATTGAGCTGAAGCATAATTGATAATTTTGACATTATATCGCAAAATTCAATTCAATTATAGCTAATTGTTAACAATTATTTTGTTCAAAACCATTGTTTATGGAAAATCAGAGGAAACCAGAGAAAATCAGAGAATAGAAGGATACTACAGATATGTTGCCTTGATTATGGCGCGATGATAACCGGTGAAAATCTGTGTAATATAATGATTCTACAAATATGTTGTCTTGATTATGGTGCGATGATTGCGTTAGTAAAATCTCTAAGCGATCCCAAAATCCAACGTCTAAATAAGGATGACTATCGCAAAAAGGATTCTAGTTTAAACAAATATATATATTTTGTAGTTAAATCGTATTTAAGTCGGATTAATTAAAAAAATATGAATATTTTTCGTAATAAGATTTCAAATAGTACATAATAACAAAAAAATCTCTTATATTTCGTTGAAAGTACACAATTGTACGATAAAATCGTACACTATAACATTTGTCTATACCACAAGTTGTTTATTTGTCGCTTAATGCTCGGATTATGGTTGTCGCTAAACGTTACTACAGTACTTACTAAATCCTAATTATCATACACAAATTACCTTCGACGAATCTACCTAATTATGAGTTATCACAAAGTTAACGTTAGTAGTACAGGGCATTTAATAATCAATAAGGCAACGATTAAAAAATAGAATTAGTGAACAATGAATCCAAAATCTGGACTGACTGTTACAACGTTTTCTTTAATACTTTATTATCAAATAAGTAAGAATCCCTCGTGTGTTGTAATATCAAAATACTCAAATATCCCTCAATCTGGAACGAAGACAAAATTGTGTTGAATGACAGTGAAAATTGCAGATCTTTTGCATGGTGGTGGCAAAGACAAGTTGGCGGATTCTACGCAAAAATAACCAAACTGTCTGCTTTAGCTCGTGTTGCACTGGCAACTTGTCGTAATATGAAGTTGCTTTGTAGGCCATCAACCAGTTTTTCTTTACAAGATTAAGATTCATAATATATCTATCTGGGTTTCGGTAAATGAAGACAAGGAAGACCAGCTTAATTAATCTGGTTTCTGATTAGTACTTAATTAGTGAATAATTACACGACACAAATGCAACTTCTAATTACATCGTCGTCGTCAAAATCTTAAGAAACATTATTGTCTTCCAATAAGCGATGTTGATGATTAATTGGCCACATGTCTTGTTTTTCCAACAATTATCAATCAGAAGGATACTCTTTTAGTAATGTTTGAATATTAAAGGCTGATAGCACCCAGAAGTAGATAATTCATGTAATTTAAGTTTAGTTATACATTTTTGCAATAATCTAATTTGGTTGTTCTTATGCTGGTAAACTAAATTCAAGTCAAATCTTGCTCCCATCAACCGATTTGAGTTTGAAGGTAAGACTTACTCTTTTATGGATTATTGAATGAGTCAAGATGTTGAACTGAAGATTTTGATTAATTTTGTTTTAGCTTAATATTACCGAACATAACAGTTAGTGTTGGTTATTTTTGGAATTTGTCAATTAGAAAACTCAAATGTGAAACACAGAACTAAAATAATTAAAAACTTGACAAGCTTTTTATTCAATTGGGGGGGGGGGGGG